GTATCGTAGTTAACCCCTTTGAGCTTGTAATCTTGTTTCTTTGGCAACCACATTACAAACCTTACCCATTTGGTTAAATTAATCATCTATTTGAACCTTTTAACCTCTCATGAGCACTTGAATTATTATGAACTGTGTAAAAGTTAAAGTGTGGGGTGGTTGGTTTGGCTTTTGAGTAGAACTAATGAAATAAGGAGAAAGATGCACTATTTTAAAAAAAAGTAAGAGCCACTTGAATTGGAAAAAAAAAGAAAAAAGAAAAAAATAGGTGGATTGTTGTGAAAAAAATAATTCATTGATAAGTGGTGGCTCTTGATGTAAGTATGCTTAAAGAAGAATGGGGTAATATACATTGATGTGAATGTGGAGTTTTGGTTTGACATAAGTATGGGGTTTGAATGTTAAAGTATATGTATTAAAGTGCTTAGGGAGGTGTAGTCACTCTTATATCTAAATGTATCCTACCCGTCCCGTAGCCTGCATTACAAGCAAATAAAGTCCTAATTGATCCTAGATTGAATGAGCTCGATTAGTGGAGTAGTACACTACGAGAAAGCTTATGGTGCATCTTTTGTGGCATATGAATGTTATTTCTGAGAGTGAGTGAATTCTTTCTATGTTGAGTTCCTAAGTGTTCTTAAATTTTATTGTATGGAACTACTCTCTTTTGTTGTGTGAGGGCACTTGATTTATGAAGGAAAGATAATGTCAGTGACCTCTATGTTAGAGTAAGTGGGTGAATTGTGAATAATACGTGGTACTTGTGAGTCAAATCTTGATGTGAAGATGTTACGCTTTTGTACTTAATCTATTATAAATACTCTTGGTGTGATGAGTTAGGAGAATTGTTTAAAAAGGTCGTGTCTATAAAAAGTGTAATTTGATTGCTCGAGGACGAGCAATGGTTTAAGTCTGAGGTGCTGATGATAGTCTATAATTACGTATTTTAGTCGTTTATTACACTCAAATTTACTGCACTTTAATTGAGTTTGAGCTTTATCGCTAGTGTCTTGCACTAATTGTGTGTTTTATGCCTTATAGGAGTGATTACGAGCTATGTAGATGTTATGAAATGAATTCAAATGATTTGGAGCTTTAAAGTCTGAGTAAAAGCCCAAGTAATTAATCCCGGATCGTATTCAGGGATCTACGGATGATAGAGCAACAAAACGAAGAATCGAGTAGGCATATTGTGCACTGTCTAGTAAAATATACATAACTCTTTGATCAGAACTCCATTTGGGCTCCACAATATATGGTTGGAAAGATAACTCAAAGGAATACAACTTTCATGTTTAAAGTTTTTCCAAATTCCAAATGGAACAGGGTGAAAAATGCAGTTGAAACCGCAACCACGGACCTGATGCGGACTGAAACAGTAGACTTGCCAAATACCGCGCCTGTACCGTGCCTGGGCCACGGCCGCGAACGTCCAGGCCTGGAAACTTGTCTTTTTTTGCGTAGGAGAAGGTATAATAGTTTGGGACAGACCCTACTTGGTATATATACATGGAAAATGGTATTTTGAGGGGAGGAGACCAATTTTTGACACAGCTTCGACTTAAGGAGGCAGAGACACAATAGGAGCAAAGCGGAGAATTCTTCTACGAGTTTTTTCTTCCTCTTCCTATTTTTTTCATTGTTGGTTATGACTTTTAGTATTGTAATTTTACATACTAATATGAATAACTAATTTGTTATCGAGGGTTTTGATAGAAGCTTTTGTAGGATAAATTCTTGTTATGTTTTTATATAATTGAGCCGTTGGATTTCTCTACTTGTTCAACTACGTGTTTATTGTTGTTGATTGAATGGCCATCGATTGACTGTGCCTATTTATTATGTATTACTTGAGAAAGGATACATATTTAGGTGGTTGTTTAACAACGTCACTCCTAACGTATGTGAGAAATCAATACAATGGGTTTAAAGGTAGGTTTAGAAATAACAAAGCCTTGACGTGGTCATAATGAGCGGTTAGATAAAGCTAACTAGCGTAGTTCGATAGAATATGTCTAGTAAATTATTNTGACATCACCCGTCGTGCTTTACACTCTTCCTCACAAAATCATACACGGCATCACCCTTCGTGCTTTAACACTCTTNTAACTAGCGTAGTTCGATAGAATATGTCTAGTAAATTATTGTAGTTGCTCGAGAGAGAATTACGGCATCTAAAGTGCTCACGATCAGTAGAGAATACATTGGCAAAATTGTAGGGAACATAGCTAGAAGAATTCCGACAATTGGGGAAATCATAACTCTANAAAACAATATCAAAACAATAACATCCTGGTAAGGGAGACAATATCATGATTCTCTCTCTCCTTTGTTTTTTCACATTTACTTCACAACTTGAGTCAATGCTCTATAATGTTCAACAATTCTATTCTTAACTTGAGTCAATGCTCTATAATGTTCAACAATTCTATTCTTAACTTGAGTCAATGCTCTACAATGTTCAATAATTCAATTCAATGTTCAACAATTCAATTCTCAACTTGAGCCAACGCTCTACCATATTCAACAATTAACAATAATACTTCCACAAGTCATATTCCTCAATAGAAATTATCATATAGAGCATGAACAATACGAAACGGAGTCACATTAATCATAGTATAAGACTCACGAGCATGCTTGACACCGACGTATAGATACTCGTCACCATGCCTATACGTCGTACTCAACAAATAACACATAGTAAATAGGATACAACTCATAATCCCTCAAGCTAAGGTTAGACCAAATACTTATCTCGATGCCACGAACACAATTCAAGTCTCTACTATCGCTTTACCTCTTGATTCCACCACCAATTCGTTCGTATCTAGCCACAATTTACTTAATTACATCAATAAATGCTAAATGAATCAATTTTAATGCATGAAAATGAGTTTTCTAAAGTTTTACCCAAAAGTCAAAAATCGCCCCGGACCCACATGGTCAAAACCCGATGTTCGAACCAAAACCCGATTACTCATTCCCCCACGAACTCAAATATATAAATTTGTTTTGAAATCGGACCTCAAATTGGGGTCCAAATCCCCAATTTTTGAAAAACATATGTTCTACCCAAAATACCCAATTTTCCCCATAAAAATTATTGATTTTGAATTGAAATCATGTGAAAAGATGTTAATGATTGAAGGAAACGAGTTAAAATTGACTTACAATCGATTTGACAGAAGAGTTGTCTTTGAAAAATCGCCCAAGAGTGTTTTGGTTTTGAAAGAGTGTGAAAAATGGTTGAAATGCATCTAAGTTATGAATTTTCAGGTTTCTGATGTTGCAATTGTGACCAGGGTTCGCAATTGCGAACCCCTCAGAAAATTGGACTTTCGCATTTGCGATCCACTCAGCTTTCTAGTCATCATCGCATTTGCGAGAAAACAGTCGCATTAGCGACTGAGGCTTCCAGGTCCATTCTTCGCATTTGCGAGCCAGGCTTCGCATTTGGGAAGCCTGCAGACCAGATCACACCAGCTGAAAACCTGCAACTTTCCAAGTTCAAAATCCACCCCATGGCCTATCCAAAACTCACCCAAACCCCCGGGGCTCCAAACCAAATATGCACACCAATCTAAAAAAATCATACTGACTCGCTCGTGCATTAAAATCACTAAAATAATATCAACAACTATGAATTTAGCATCAAAATCATGAAATTTCTTAAAACCTTCAAATTTTCTAATTTTCTCAAAAACGATCCGATTCACGTCATTTCAAGTCCGTTTCTTACCAAAATTCACAGATTTATCTTAAATCACATATAAGACCTGTACCAGGCGCCGGAACTAAAATACGGGTCCGATACCATCAAGTTTTAAACACATTTTATTTTCAAAACTCATAAATAATTCCAGAAAATAATTTTCTTTAAAAAATTTATTTCTCGGGCTTGGGACCTCGGAATTCGATTCCGGGCATACGCCCAAGTCCCATATTTTCGGGTCCGGGTCCGTTTTTCCAAAATATTAATCGAAGTCAACTTAATTCATTTTAAAGTCGAAATTCATTATTTTTCACAGATTTTCACATAATAGCTTTCCGGCTACGCGCCCGGACTGCGCACGGAAATCGAGGTGATGCCAAAAGAGGTTTTTGAGGCCTCGAAACGCAGAATTTATTTTTAAAACAAGTGATGACCTAAGGTCATCACATTAACACCATGTTCATGACATCCCTTTTTATTACCTCAATGTCATCCTATAAATAGATACCATTCTCTCTACATTCTTATCTATTTACTTGTTTTAATATTATTACTTTGTGCTAAATTTCTAACATATATCAATTTAATACAAAATCTGAGTCAAAATTCACGAAAAAATGGAAATAGTAAGTACTTCAATGACTCCCGCGTTGAAAAACAAACAGTTACTATTTCCCAAAAACAAAACTTACGTGTTTATGTTCTAAAGTACTCCGTAGTATAGTCCGTTTGGCCAAGATGCAAAAATCAGTTATTTTGAGAAGTGTTTTTTTTTTAAAATTGTTTTTCTCAAAAGTACTTTTGGTGAGAAGCAGTTTGTGTTTGACTAAGTAGTTTGAAAAGCGCTTCTGAGCAGCAATTAGTGTTTGACCAAGCTTTAAAAAACTGCATCTAAGTGTATTTTTCTCAAAAGTGTTTCTCAAAAAAGTACTTTTGGAGAGAAACTACTTTTTTTTGCTTCTCCAAAACTGCTTCTGCTTCTCCTTCTCCTCAAAAGCACTTTTTTTCATTCCAAAAGCGTGACCAAATACTTTAAATTTTGGCCAAAAGTGTTTTTAGCCAAAAAAAATAAAAACACTTTTGGAAGTTTGGCGCTAGTAAACTTGTCTACCGACAAAATTTAAGGCAATCAAAATTTTTATTTTTGGTAATAACACAACAACACAAATGTGGTAATACCATTCGTACATTTTGGAACAGTACAAACAATCCCCCTTCTTTTCTTTTCTTTTTTCTTTGGTATGAGAAAATCCCCCTTCAAGTCATAACAGTCCTTGTTTCTTTTTTCCTTCCTCGTGCCGTAATAGACCAATAAGGTGGCGCTTTACATCATACCAGGAATTAGGAAAAACATTATTGACCCTATTAAGCTGGAATGTCAGACTCGCATTAGTCAGAAGTTGGTATTTTCACAATCTTTTTTCTTCTTTCCTTAGATCTAGGAATAGTCGTCCCAACAGAAAGAAGAAGGAAACTGCAGATCCCATATTTCATGCATTAGATATACAAAACTCTCTTTCTTCCTCCTCTCTTGTTCATATGATATGATCATTTGAAACAAGGAGAAAAAAATAATAAAACCCCAGAAAAAAAATCATTTCTTTTTTATTTGATTAGTGTATAGAGAGGGATATAGATATAGATAAATATAGGGAGATGGGTATTCAGGAAAATGGGAATGGGGATGTTCTAAAGTATAAGAGGATGGATTCTGATGCAGTGGAAGAGGATGGTGTATTATGTGAAGAAAAAGGAAATGACAGCAGCAGAAAATATGTTTTGGTTTGTGCTATCTTTGCCTCACTTAATTCTGTGCTCCTTGGATATGGTTGGTATATCTCTCTACTTCTCCAAATAATAGTAACTGCCTTTTTTTGTGTCCTGTTGTGTTTTTTCTTTTATCTATTCCTTCTACCTTTATATTAATTCTCTGCTTTACTATTGATTTGCCTGTGTCCATGATATATCTGTGGATTAAGATTCCATTTGAACTATGATAAGCTTAGAAATGAATCTCTTCCTTTTTGTGATAAGGGTCCTAATGCTAGAAGACACTGGATTATGCTCAGGGGCGGAGCTAGAGTACTGGGAGCGGGTTTGGCCGAACCCAGAAGCTTTAGTTTGAACCCTGTATTTGTCTTAAAAATCTCATTGAATATGTATAAATTATTTATATATAACCCACTAACTTCAAACGATTAGAATTCCGAACGCATAAACTTAAAATCCTGGCTTCGCCTCTAATTATACTGTTTGTCATTATGCTTTTTTTATCATCATAAAGCTCCAACATTTATAGACATTAGAAGGATTTAATTATATTAATATCTCAGTTGATTTAGTTTATTTTGTTATTTAACTCTAAAAAACCTTATAAATAGCCAAGACCTCCTTTTGAGCAAGGTAGAATTGTTGGTATCTGCTCTTGGCAGTTCAAATGAATGATTAGAGTTGTAATTGTTGCTGACTAGTGTCTTTGGGTTTAGCATTTTGATGCCACTTCTCTTTAATAGTTCGGTATAAAAGCCAAATGCTTTTTGTATATCGACCTCAATGTTTTAGTTGGTTGTCTGTTTAATTGAAAGCTAGCATCTAATAGGAACAATTCCATTTACAGATGTTGGTGTTATGAGTGGAGCTATTATCTTCATTCAGCAAGATTTGAAAATTACTGAAGTGCAAGAGGAAGTCCTTGTTGGAATCCTAAGCATAATTTCGCTTTTTGGGAGTTTAGCAGGAGGAAAAACATCAGATGCCATTGGCAGGAAATGGACCATGGCTTTTGCAGCCATTGTGTTTCAATCTGGAGCTCTTATAATGGCTCTTGCTCCTAATTTCAAGGTGTTAATGATAGGAAGGTTTTTGGCTGGAATTGGTATTGGTTTTGGAGTAATGATTGCTCCTGTTTATATAGCTGAGATATCACCTACAGTTGCCAGGGGATCATTTACTTCTTTCCCTGAGATATTCATAAATCTTGGAATTCTTTTAGGTTATGTTTCGAATTATGCTTTTTCTGGTTTATCCCCTCATATAAATTGGAGAGTCATGCTTGGTGTGGGGACTCTCCCCTCAGTTTTTATTGGAATCGCTCTATTTGTTATTCCTGAATCACCTAGGTGGTTGGTGATGAAAAATCGGATTGATGAAGCGAGGGTGGTGTTATTAAAAACTAATGAAAATGCAAATGAAGTGGAGGAGAGGTTAGCAGAAATTCAACAAGCTGCAGGGCATGTTAATGCAGAGAAATATGAAGAGAAAGCCGTGTGGCGTGAACTGCTAAATCCTTCACCTGGAGTTAGAAGAATGCTGATTACAGGTTGTGGGATACAGTGTTTTCAACAGGTCACAGGTATAGATGCAACTGTATATTATAGTCCAACAATTTTTAAGGATGCCGGGATTAAGGGTAACACTCAACTCCTGGCTGCTACTGTTGCTGTTGGATTCACAAAGACAATATTCATTTTGATAGCCATATTTCTAATTGACAAAGTTGGTAGGAAACCTTTGTTATATGTCAGTACAATTGGTATGACTACTTGTCTGTTTGGTCTTGGACTCACACTTTCTTTACTGGGGAATGGTTCAGTTGGTATCAAATTGGCAATTTTATGTGTATGTGGAAATGTAGCATTCTTTTCTGTGGGGATTGGTCCAATTTGTTGGGTCTTGACATCAGAAATCTTCCCTTTAAGACTTAGAGCCCAAGCATCGGCTCTTGGTGCAGTGGGGAGTAGAGTTAGTAGTGGTGTGGTTGCAATGTCTTTCCTCTCCGTTTCTCGCATGATTACAGTAGGAGGAACATTTTTTGTATTTGCTGCTATATCAGCACTCTCTGTTGCTTTTGTTCATAAATGTGTTCCAGAAACAAAGGGGAAATCGTTGGAAGAAATCGAAATGATGTTCCAGAATAATAGGCCACAGCAAGGTGGTGAATTGGAGCTTGAAGATGTCAAACATCTAATGCAGACACAATGAAGAGGCATAAGATATCATAGTATAATAGGCCAACTTCGAAATGATGTTCCAGAAATCGAAATGATGTTCCAGAATAATAGGCCACAGCAAGGTGGTGAGTTGGCATAAGATATCATAGTTTTATCAGCAGTGAAAAGAAAGTTGGCATTTGCTCGCGAAACACTTATCAAACTTGCCAACTTCATAATATTTGTGAATTGCATCACACAATAAGATAAAGATATAAAAAAAAATTATACTCATTCGTCGTTAGGGCTGAAGCTGTCTTGTACCTTGATGACATTGGAATATTTGATATCTAGAAACTGAGAAGTTAGAAGGAATACATAGACTTTCCTCCTCTTCCTCCTCCTTTTATTTTTATTTTTATTTTTATTTTGTAGAAACAAGAGAGTAGTGATATTGAACACCTGTATATAGGTTCAAATTGGTATTTTACAGACTTTTGTTGAACCACTGTTTTCTTCTTCTTCTTCTTCTTCTTTTTTCTTAGCATTATTGTGAGTTACAGTGGATTACATTACCTTGTATCTCTGTGTTTACCTATAGGGATTAATGTTACCCATGCATTTTTCTCAAGAAAAATGGTCAATGGTTTAACCATATTTTCCCTTTGCCTTATCTTCCTTTCATCCTTCTGTTTTTTCTTGAATTTTTTTCTTTAACAAAACGCGCAGAAATCTGAATTTTCTGTCATTTAATGGTTAACTGGAAGATGAACAAGAGTGAATAAATGCTAAATAGCAAAGTCAAAGTTTTGGTCAGTCCTGAATGGTGAAGGAATTAAATGTACCGCCTTTTTCCATCTAAAATACTCATCCTCTTCTAAGGTCTTTAAAGAATAATAGTAGCAATTATTTTGAGCATTCTGTAATTATTTAGTTGGGGATACACCGAACAGATAGACCTGAAAATGAAAGCACTTAAAGGACCACATGCACTAATAAAAAGAAAAGGACTGATCATCAAAGTTTCACCAGCTAAAACATTAATACTCCTACCGGGTCCGGGCCTAAATGGGCCAAACGGGCCTGGGCTCAGGCGTGCCAGGCTGAGGCAGTCCCGGGCCAAATGAGTGGAACCGGCCATTGCGATCCTAAACCCACATGGTATCGGGCTAAATGGGCCAGGTCCGCATGCCTAAACGGGCTTTTTGGTTCCGGGCTATTTTTTTTAATTTTTTTTATCTAAGGCAATTTCTTGTAAACTATATATGTATATTCTAATATAAATAGCTATATAAATATATATAATATGTATATATAATTATATATTGTCTTATATAATACATAGCTTATATATATTATGTATACTCTCTCTCTATATATATATATAGTTTATATGTATTGGTATCTAATACATATNGAATTAAGGAAGATACAAGTTACATATTAGTCTATGTATTATCTCTAACAAATCTCATAAATTCTTCAAGGTCCGGAGGAATTTCCGTTGGTGGTGGTGGAAAAGAAGCTTGTTCATCACCACTTCCGGGTGAAGCAACATCCTGCGCAAGTTCCGCTAGCATTTCTTCATAAGCTTCGTCTATCTCCGGTTGTGATTCTGCAAGTCCAAAATTTCTTCTTTCCGGATGGATCCAATCTCTGAAGAGTACTGATTTTTCCAAGCTCTCCCTTATAGACGCTCTATGATCACCGATTTGAAGTCTCGCTTGACTGAAAGTGCTCTCCAATGCCACTGTTGAAACTTGAACACTTAAAATATCTCGAGTCATCCTTGAAAGAACCGGATAGTGTTTTTGTTTGTCCTTCCACCATTCCAAAACCATCGAAGGAGCCGTCGGGATTCTCTGATTCAAGTCCCTGCGATAAATAAACTTGAAGCTCATTTAGTTGTGAACTATCACCAATATTATCACCTTGAGAACCCCGGAACTCCGTCCAAGAACCAAGGGTTTTTAAGCCCGCAGTTCCTTTAGATAATTGCGAACTAGACGAAGTAGGAGTTGGAACATTTGGTCTAGCATGATCTAAGGCAAGTTGATAAGCATTATAAATTGTTTGAGCATTTATTTTAATTGAGATTTTTGCATCTCCAAGTGTAGCAAATTCCTCAGCTGAAAGTGATAAAACGTTATAAATTTTTGAGTACCAAAACTGAGGACCTCCTAATTTCATTGTAGGAACACTGCAGCAACATCAAAAATAGGGGGGATAGGGAAAAAAAATTAAACTTAGCTTTCATAGAATTAATAACTTGTTCATAAATTACCCCACCCTCTGAAAATTGAGTAAATAAATCTGCAAGTGCTGCAATATAAACTAAACAGTTAGAAATAGTAGGATAATATTGCCCAGATAATTCATTTGTAGCAACATGAAATTGTTCTAAAAAGTCTACAAACATTTTAACATTAGTCCAATCTTAATTTGTAAGGTGCTCATCATTATCATCATCACCTACACGAGCATTATATGTTGCGCTTATTGTGTTTCTATATTCATATGCAACAACTAAACTTTCATACATGTAATTCCATCTAGTCGGATAAGGTTTAGGAATCTTTCTTTCTCTAAGGCCAAATTCATCATATTTTTTAAAATAATCTTTAAGTCTACTTCTACGGTTTGAATAAAAAAGTCAATTAAGAGCCATTTTAACCTTTTCAGTTTCTACATTTAAAACTTTCATACCATCAACGATGATTAAATGGTAAATATGACAAATACATCTAACATGAAAAATATTACTAAATGCAGGATTTAGTGTAGTTGTAAGCAAGCCTATAGCATTAGTGTTACTAGAAGCATTATCCATTGAAATCGACATTATTTTATCTCTAATACAAAAATATCTACAAATATCTGCAACTGTGTTAGCAATAAACTTTCATGTGTGGCGTGAATTAATTATTCTATAAGCAATAATGCGTTTTTGCATTATCCAGTCCTCATCTATCCAATGACTTGTAACAGTTAGATAATCACAGTCATTACCACTTCTACCAATATCAGTAGTAATAGCAATGCGACAATCTATATGAGTAAATAAATAGCGCAAATATTGTTCATATTCATGTTTATATTTATAAATATCACTCTTTACGGTTGCGCGAGGCCATCCTTTATAAATAGGATTAAAAATTCTTCTAATATAGTGCACAAAATGAGGGTTAGAAGGAAAACTATAGGGTAAGCACATAATAGTAACCATTTTTGTCAATTCTTCACGATCTTTATTTGGATCATAATATAAAATGTCACCGGTAATAGTGTTAATTCCCGGTTGAACTAGATTTGAACCTGTACTAGGGTTAACCGTAGTATCTACACTTGTCCCCTCTTGCGCAGCTTTCATTTGTAAATATCTAGCTTTATCTATAGGGTGTTTCAATATGTGTCTAGTCAAACTACCCGTACCGCTACGGTCTCCAGTATATTTATAGCCATCAAAGACCCACAAGTTTTACACTTAGCCTTATTTTGTTCTCTTAGTTGAGTAAAAAAGTGCCAAACAAGAGATGTTTCGGGCCGTTTAGAAGGTTTTCTATTAAAAGTAGGGGTTACTACAGGAGGGTCAGGCGGGGCATCAGTTGGGTTATTAACAGGACTAGTAGGTGTATTATCTAAATCTGGTTGCGTTTCATCTAAATCATCATTTTCCTCATCATTTTCAAAGATAGTTTGATTAGGATAAAGAGCATTCATGACTTCTTCATTTAATTGTTGACCTGGTGCAACATCATGGCAAAATTGACTATCAGAAAATTGAAAACAAGGTTTATCACTATCAAGAATAATAGGTGGAGGAAGACGGGTAACAGGTCTGGGTCGGGGAGCCGGGGGAAGAGTAGTAGCTTGGCAACTAGATTCACCAATTTTAGATTTTCCCTTACTCTTACCACCAAATATTTTTTTCAAAGAAAAGTCCATATTAATTATAATTATACTAAATAAAACAAACAAAACTATAATATTAAAACTTAAAAGTTGGAATGAGTTTACGGAATTGATGAACAACTTCTTGAAAATTGAATATCGTTGAATACTTGAATACTTCAATTCACCAACTTCACAGTTTTTCACGAAATTGCAATAATAAAGTAAGCAATTATAGAAGAAAATTAGAGAGAGATTGATGAATTTGTGAGTAAAAATGAAAGAATGAGGGGGTATTTATAGTTGAGAATAGGGAAAAAGTGTAATTATAAAAAGTTTGGGGTTAAAACAAATTTTGGGGACCAAATGGCTATTTTTTAAAGTTCCAAACGACTGAAAATTGAAGGCCAACGACTAGATTTTAAAAATCTGACCGTTGGCCCTTTTAAAAAAAAAATAGCCGTTGGGGCCCGTTTGGCCCGGTTGAACCGGCCTAGGGCCGCCTGCCGGTCCCGGGCTCACGGGCTATTTGGTCAGGACCAGCCCGCTATGGGCTTTTGCACCACTAGAGACCGGCCCATTTGGCCTGTTTGCCCGGGTCGATCCCGGGCTAGGCCCGGCCCATAATATACCCTTACCTGCAAGTTGGGTAAATTATAGACTTTGTAACACCAAATACTCCAATTTTGATCAGCAATGCAATTGGAGAGGTGAGTAAAAAACAGATAAAAAGACGAAACGAGATTAAATATAGTTTACTAACACTTAGCATTGTACTCTAACACTGCTTGCAATCCCAAATTGAGCAATTTTAAAAAAACTTATTTAGCAGTTGATCGCCAGATTAAATATAGTTCGATCGCCATCTACATTTTTTTTTTTTTTTTTT